AACATGTTTGTCCATTTGATCAGATTTTTTGGTTTGAATTGTTATGGATAAAAATAGACAAGTCCTTAAAAATGTTTGTTCTTTTAAAGGTTTGTTGACATCTATTATAGAGACAAGTCAGTTCTTTAAGTACTTAAACTGAATTTATAGTCTAGCAGACATATCTGTTCGGTAAGCTTTCGATACATTGCAATGTTTTTCTTCCTTTTATTTTTCCATCTTTATTATATGGTTATTTTAAAAGTAGTGAAAGAAGAGTGTTCGGTAACCCATTGCTGATTAAATGTCGCCGTTGAACGTGTGGACTTCCACAGCCAGTTCGTTGCAATGATATAAATGAAATTAATATTCTCAAGATCGTATTTTTTTTTCAGTTTTTAAATTAGTATGATAACTACAAAAACCTCCCTCAGAAATTTTTTGATAATCAATCAACGCAATCTAAATAAAAGTACATGACCTGTATATGAACGTCAGATGCTGATCGTCAGATCTGTAATAACTGCGATCTGCAAAGCAATGTAAATATTAATCATTTCATCTATTTTTGTTGTTTCCTATTATATTTGGTAAATGAAATCGATATAATATTAATTTATGTAAATATTACCAAAACTGCTGCACTAGACAAATATATGTTAATTGATTACTATCACAGCTACAGAATGCGTCAATGAGTAGCTATCAGTACGATATGTTTACAAAGATGCGACAATTTTAGTTTTGCTGTGTTTGGTTTTTGGACGAATAATATTTCTGATTTGTATACATTCGGTAGATGGGAAGATAAATATTACCAATGTTTGTTTAATTACTCTGATCAATGCAGCGTTTATTTCCATCAATATTTACAATTAGAATCCAATAACGATAAAGAATCTGAATGATTCAGCTTAGAACTAATGCTTGTTAGTTTCACATTTGTACTAGCAACGCAAGGAAAATGTGTGATTAATCAGTAAAATGAATTTCATTTTGATTAGACATCGACTGTGAAATAAGAAATAGTGTTTTACTTCTGCGGGATTCGTAAAAAATAATTACACTTAAACAAATTTAAATCTGAGGAAATGTCAATATTTGCGAATGGACATGAAATAAAGGGAAAGATTTAACGTTCAGTGCATTCTAACAACAGATTGTTTGGGTACCTAAATAAGACGATAATGAACTTCAACATATTTTTAGAGTCTTTATGTAAGTGATTTTTCATGTATTACCATAAAGTGTTATCTTTTTTTTCTTCTTTTATAGATATTATGAGATCATAATTTCTTGACTGAAATATTTTTATCGGTTAATATTTTTAAAATTGTATTTTGTTTTAATACATAATATATATATGATAAACATTTTTTCTATTCACATACAAGTAACAAAAACGTACAGATTTAAACTGTTCAGATATTACATGGTCTAATATTCCATATTGTTCTTCAGAGTGTTTACAATACAATCAATTGAATGCAGAAGTATATCTAAATAATTACTATGTTTTAACGTCATTATAGATATGTTTATATTCACGTTGTTTTTCATCTTTTGATTTTAAATGTGTAATCAAATTTCCATTTACATGTGACGTGGAAAATATAATGATACGAATCTCATTTGCACATTTGGAACGAAAAGTTGTTAGGAAGTTATAACTTAGTCTTTTTCATTCTATTAGAGTCTTCGGTTTTTTTTTTATTTCTTCCGATTGAATTATAAATAACAGATTTTATGTCTATAAATTTTGAGTTTAATAAAATATTATTATATCTAGTTTAATGCTTTTTCTTTAATAAGGGACTTTCTGTTTACCTTGAAAGCCGTCATTATTGTTTTTGCTATGTTTATATGTATTTGTAAATTTTAGTTTGAATCGGGTTCTCTTTTAATTTGTCCTGAGACTCATCCCTTGGTCTTACTATGAATCTAACTCTGATGATAATGACTTGAAGATAAGTTTTTTGAATGCAGAAATATAACACTACATGTACATTGTAGATGGTGGAGAGGATGTAGTGTCAATTTCTTCTGTATTTGTTTCACTCAAAGGGACATAAATCTGGAAGTTGTTTAAACTTACTGATAATTGAATATTAAAAAGACTCAGTCTACATAATTTTCTCACACACATTATCAATAATTTAACCAATTTAAATTTCATAAAAATATTATTCAGCACTACATATTGCTGTTGACAATATTGCTAATTTTACATGTTTTCGATAAATTTTGAATCGAAGGACATCTCTATCCAAAATGAATGAATTTTTATTCAATGGACACTGAATAGCTTTGCTTTCCACCAAATTTCGGTTTTGGTAGAGAATGCCCTTCTCATACTTTTTGGATAAATACATTTTCTCAAATGGAGGAGGTTTGATAAGGTAACTTTTTGGCCCCTTGAATTCGAAAACCAAAAAGCATTATAAATCTACCAAATAACATCCTTCAGGTCATAAGATATTAGTCCGAATGAACTTTTTTGAATTATGAATATTGAAGTTTGTTTCACATATTCTTGAAATAAGTGCAAAACTGGTCGAAACCTTGTGATCTTTTTATTAACATTTAAATATGAGCTAGTCTTACCGAAAATAACAATTATTTTGCTAAAAAAACATTTTTTTTATAAACATGTCATTGTGTTTAAAATATCTTGTTTGTGTAAAGCTTTCGGTCATATCTAAAAACTATGAGTAAAAAGCTGCCTTTTTTTTGTCAAATATGTCAATTTCAGAATCTTTACGACGTCATAGTGACAACACTAGTGACCTTTCTGCACTAAAGTTTCCAGATCATATAAACTTGCTCGATTATCAATAAAATTATTATTTTAAAAGTCTTGAATAATTTTAATATTTTTGCAATTCCAAGGGCCAAAAAAGGCTATAATCATACCACCAACATTGCCATAATTGTCAAAATTGCAGTTTTTGTGCAATCTTCGGACATCAAATGATCCAAAATGCAGTAAAATAGTAAAATTATGTTAGATCCTTTAACTATGCATTTGAATCTGTGATGCTGTGAATTGTAGATCAAAGATTAAAGGACTCTACGGACATGGCTCATGCCTGTTTATTGAAGCGCTCTTAGGACTAGGACATGTCCTAAGATCATCTTAGGACGCATCTTTGTCCTAAGTGCGTTTATCAAACATGTCGTAACTTAGGAAAAGTCATAGGAATCGTCCTAACTTTAGGACACCTAAGTAGGTGTCTTAAGATGGTCTTAGGATGGTCATAACTTTAGGATATATTTAATGATGGTTAATTTGTAAACAAATACGACCACCACCTATATATGGATCCCCTTTTTTCTAAATAATATATAAGTAGTGGAATGATTGCCAATGAGACAACTCTCCACAAGAGACCAAATGACATGTGATCCATGAATTTTTGTTTTTGTTTCATAAAGTTTGAATGTAAAATTATTAGATAAATATTATTTCTTTTCTTTATGATAATACTAATAATATTTCTATTTTTTATTCTTGTAATTATTAACTACTGGTGAAATTCAATGCATTCTTAAACATTTAAATTTTTTAAATTTTATTTTTTTTTACGCTAACACTTAGGACAGCGGTTAGGACCTAAGATAGTCATAAAATAGCCTCGATGTGCATGCTGAGACATGCTGAGACATTTCGTAAGTCGGTCCTAACATTATCCTTATTTATTCCTAAGAGAGGTCTTAGGACAAATCCTAGGACAGCTTCGATAAACAGGCCCCTGGTCTAAAATAACTTCAGAGGAAATTGGTCCTACCTCTTTGCATTTAAAGTAGTAACATGAAGCAGTTGTGTTAAACTTCCAAAGGTCATTATTTTCTCACTTGATTTATTAAAGTAGATATTGTTTCTTTTTCTTTTTCAATTTTTCGGTAATTGTCTTTTAGCCTAAGTATCATTGTTCGATTGAAGCATTCTGACTTCGTTCTTGGTAAAAAAATGTTTTGCAATTCTTTAAGAATAAGTAACTAACACATGTTGTGTATATTTTGAATATCAACAGGTTGTTAATTCTTACTATTATTCTGCAATTAGCAATCTTCACAACCTAATATTAGTACAGAAATTTAGGTATGTATCGTGGAAAGATATAAGCCTTTCTACTAGACCTCCGGTAGCTATATAGTAAGCAAATATCGGTCATAAGCAATGTTTCTGCAAACTATCTATCTTTCCAGTCATCAATCAACATAAAAGTATAATTGACAAACAGTTTGCTACTTGATATAACATACATTTTTGGATTCAAGTTTACGGTGGTTTTTGAAGAGTTCTTCTATTATCAGTACCTATAATAACTGTACTAATATAAGAAGATCTTACGATAAGTTTAGTTTTATGGCAGGTTATATTTAAATTAGTTACCTTTTCAATTATGAGTGAATCTTCTTAAATCATGAACAGCCCGTTTATCAAAACAAATATAAAGTTCATGTAATAGCTTTCGGGAAAAGTCATTAAGTTGGAGTATTAAAACAGCCACGCACAAATACAACAATTAATGTAGTTAAGGAACAAACAGTTTGTTATCAATTTACCATTTGTCTTCGGTGTTGGTTCTTAAAAAGTTCAATGGTCTGTAAAATCATGGTAATTAAATTTCAATTAAGGTGTTGTTGAAGTATAAAAAAAATGTAATAATTAATCTAATTGAAATACATTACCTCAATTGGCAAAAACATACATCATGCCACTTTATGATTTGAAATCGATGATTTATCAATATTACCGATATCGTGGCGTTATTTAACATTTGTCGTCCTTTTCTGCTTTATTTCCTTTTGAGGTTACCAGCTGTACCATTCTTCGACGATCACGTGGGATTTAGAACAACTATTTTAAATATCTAATAGAAATTCAATATTATCGTATCTGTACCAGTATGGACTTAAAGAATCCGAACAAAAAATGCCTTGTAACATAACATTGTATGTAAAGTGGATCCAAGATTAATATATTGCTGCTGAGTAAATGCATTCTTTTATTCCAGGAATCAATAACGAGGAAAGATAAATTATTGCTAATACAACACATCTAAGGAGAAAACCCGGATCAATTAGAACTTCTAGGTAAGTTTATCTATTCTTTGAAATGTGATGTCTAGATAATTTCAGTAGAAATTAATGATGAAAGGAAAAAAAGAATTGCAAGTTAACTATACAATGCATTTTAAATCTTCAGCAGTATTGAAGGCAATGTGCTTTTTTTTTCTCGGTTTATTTTTTAATGTTTTGTTTGTTATTTTTCGGGGGGAGGATGTCCTTCTTTTCAGAATCTCTTACACTATCACCATATTCTTCTACAATGCTATAATATGCTTTGAATTGTTGCATCGTTCGGATGGAATTTATTTTTCTGCAATCTTAGATCGTTCTCCGTTATAATCTTCCGTAAAATGGATATCATTAGGGAACAATCTGGATTTACGTAACGGAAAAATATTTTTTGTTTGTTATTTTCTTTAGTAATGGAATAATTGTGCATTCTAGATTTGTATTTTATTTCTTTATCATTGATATATGGAGGTAAATTCAGTAAGGCGCTCCAATCGAAAAAAAAAAACGGTTTGCTTGAGTGTATGATCTTTCGTACATCAGGGTCTCTACACTGATAACGTTTTCTAACATACATGTTGATGGGTTTTTAAGACTCATTTGACCAAATTTTGCAATATTCACATAAACAACATGAACAAAGGTAAAGGTTCTAAGAGCAAAGTTGTTTATTCACACTTGTTTTGTTGTTGTTTGTAACATTTTGGCTCCGAGCAATCAAAGATGCTTATTCAAGAAAATTCCGTTATACCCATATCCTTAAATTTTAACAGTATATTCGTGATAAGTTGGTGGAATATTTTTAAACTTGAACCCAAAAATGATTCAGACTCAGATTGTTGGAATATGACCTGGATACTTTAGTTCACTGTCACCTAGAGTCGTATGTTAAAGCTATGTTTTTCAGAAATGTCAAATTAGTAATATTAAAATTACACATAATTTGTTAGGAAAACGAAATTAAAGGGGAATATACATGAAACAATATTCCCGAGATATACTGCTTGGAAAATAACCATAAGTAACAGGAACAGCGTATTGCTGTTCTTCATCTTAAAGTAGCTAAAAGGCCTTCAAAGACCACCCAAATGTGTTATAATAGCAAAATCAAACGTAACGCATCATCATTATTGATATTCTTTGATATTGATCTTTAATCCCTACAAATATTTAGGGGACATCAATAATTTAAATAAATATTTGGTAACGTTATCAACAAAATAATGCTGCTATTCGTTATCCGACAATACAATATCTCTAGGAACCTTCAAGATATTTGTAGGAAGACTTGAGAGTAAAAACTAGGGTTGACATAAAACAGTTCAAAATAACGAGCTGAATGAACAACACACAACCATTCCTTCAATATGACTTGTAGATGTAGTACAGCCATGAAATATTCTATTTTGAACAAAGGCTCTTTACTTTAAATACATCATGAGACTTATTTATGAATAATGGGGTTAAGGAGGTCAATTGTATGAATCGAATGACTTGAATTTATTTGAAAACCATATTCTTCCTATTTCAGTTTAAAAATATAGTCTCTCACGAACATTCACATCATAATCTTAAAATGTATAAATACAAAATAGTAATCATGGTAATCTACACCTTATACCGAGAGACATAATTACAGCGCTGACAAAAGATGAGACAAAAACTGTTTATACAAAAGATTTACATAAGATAATATTCACAATACAAAATTGAAAGGGAATCATCAAAGAATTAGATTTTCTCATATATGTTCCACAGAAGCTGCATTGCTGGAGAGATCATGATAACAGTTATCATCGAGTACAATTTTAATACCGGCCGTTTGATTGCTCCTGGTATATTTTAATCAAGTATGATTTTTAGTGTACTGGGATCAAATGCATCAAACACGAAAGCAATGAAGCGTGATATAGATTTGTATAAAATGGAATTAAATCAACAGATATGTTTTAGTAATGTAATATGAAATAAGAAAAAAATAAAATTCTTAGCGATCTAGCACTGTAAACACTGTGTAAGAGATCAAACATCAAAAATTGACAATTTGCATTTTTATATCATTATCTTGGCAGACGTATCCTGGCAAAGCTTGGATAGACACGTATAAAACTGTCATATGAAAGATTTTAATTACTTTCTTGTCTGTTAGCAGTGTAATAGGGGTAAAATATATTCACATCAATGTCTAGCTAAATTTAATTTTTTTAAACTCTACCAAGCCTTGCTTAAGTGTAGATTACTATGCACTGTCCACCCGTCTGTTATGACTTGTTTCACTCGACTTCCACAGTTTCTTGAATAGAATGTGTAAATTTAGCAGAGTGTTTTGAAACCTACTAAAGTTGTTCATTTTGTCAGGAGCATAAAATTCGTGAAATATGAGTGATAGTGACGAGTAGTTGAACAAAATAACCTAAATCGTTAAATTTTGTAGAAACGGACCATAATTATTATTTGTATGCGCTACTTCTTCCAAAGCTTTAAGAAAGATTAATATATTTTTTTGTAATATTTGTTTACATACTTCAAATATGAATATTCCAAAGGTTTCGATTTTATTGAATTGATCATTATTTACGGATAGCTGATTTATTTGAACTTTGATAGATAAACATTGCATTACACCGATTGTCCGCTCAACTCCAAATTTACAAGGTAAAAAATTTGCAGACTGTATGTACATATAAAAATGATGTGTCAGTTTCGGAATTATGATTTTCATAAGATATTTCCAGAATGACAGGTTGTTAAAACCGTATTTTAAGCTCGAATATCTTATTTGTAGAATGTTTGCATGAATATAATATGCATGTAAATGCTATAGTACAAATTGGAATTTAATAGAATCTAGAATCTTCCTAGTATACAAATCGGAATTCTGATTTATTATGAATCATACTTATCAAAACTTATTATTTAAATTCCAATATGTACATTTGTACTAATAGAACTTGAGATATCCATATTTGTAGTAGGTAAACTCTGGATTGCAGTAGATGGACACTTATAAACACTTAATTCATAATAATGTTTGTGTTAAAATACTAAAATAATTAACCTTTAAATCATTACTTTTCAGAATAAAAACATGTTTTACTATGTTTTCCTTTTTATACCACCAGAACAATCGTAGTAGTTCTCAGTTTGTTCCTATAACAGTTGAAGTGAGAGTGTTATATTTCATTAATACCTTATCGTCTGAATATACATTTGATATTTGCCACTGGAAATTAAACAGCCATTAATCAATCAAATCCATTGACCCTTCATAGTACACGGAAATTTCACATATTCCAGCATTTAAAAACATAGAAACTCGAGTGAAGACTGTCAGTTGGTTTCTGTTTGAAATTGTGAAGTAAAATGTAATACTCTTCGTTGTTCATACTTTTATGCCGAAATTGATTGCTAAACAAAAAATACCAGAAAAATGTTATAAATAAACGATTTGAAAAGAAATTCGATAAAGTTTACGTCAAATGTAAACAAATTGTTTATCAGATTTTGTTAGTAATACAGATCGATAAATGAATTTTATTTATTAATATTGTTTTCCAGTATAATTCAGAGTAAAACAAAATCAACAAAAATCTACTAGTAGATATTTGTTTTCCAGTATAATTCAAAGTAGAACAAAATCAACGAAAATCTACTAGTAGATATTTGTTTTCCAGTATAATTCAGAGTAAAACAAAATCAACAAAAATCTACTAGTAGATGTTTGCTTTCCAGTATAATTCAGAGTAGAACAAAATCAACAAAAATCTACTAGTAGATATTTGTTTTCCAGTAAAATTCAGAGTAAAACAAAATAAAAAAAATCCAACACAATCTGGAATCAAACTAGTAGTAATTTATTATATCGTGGATCCTATTAGAAATTCATTGAAATCTAAGATTTTCTTAGTACAAATCTGGATATCCAAATATCTACTAGTAGACATTGAAAGTCAGATTTGTATTGTATTTAAAGAAATATAAATCAGAATTCAATTTGTATAAGGAGGATACTGAATCTTACTGGATTCCATTTTGTACAGGTGGTTTTCCTTATCAATTCGTATACCAGAACTTAGACCGGAATCAACCATTAATTTTCCTTTATGTACATCATGAAAAAAGTAAAATAACAAAAATACCGAACTCCAATGAAAATTCAAAACACTAAGTCATGGGTATGAAACATGTGGGTATTTTTTTTTTATATGTCTTTCAAATACAGGGAAATAATGAAATACTGTCTATTCGTGTACTAAGGTTATGCCGAGTTACTTTTGTCATGTTTTCAATAATACGTCAATAACAATAGTGAAACTTTATCATTAATTAAATCTTTCTTGTCACATGTACTAATATCAAGAACCTCATTTCAATCTTTTCATAATTCTGATATATACATAAGTCAGGCCATTAGTTTTCTCGTTTGAATTAATTTACATTTGTCATTTCGAAGCCTTTTATAAATTGCTATGCGGTATGGGTTTTGCTCATTGTTGAAGGCCGAACGGTGACCTTTAGATTCTAACTTTAACGTCATTTGGTCTCTGGTGGAGAGTTGTCTTATTTACAATCGTACCACATTTTTTTTTTTTTTTTAAATTCATTGATTTAAATATCAGTATTCTATATTTATATTACAGTAATACGTAATCAAGTTGTATAAACTATGAATTTTTAAACTGATAGTGGTTTAAATATTTTATTTACTCTCTTTGTTCCAACGATTATCTAAAAAAAAATAAAAATACACATAAATTGGAATTTCCATCAATTGTCTGAACAATTCCAAGTGTATGTCAACTATGTATATTGCAATGTTCATCTTCTATCTTATTCAAAAAAACATACTGCTACCGTAAGGATAGCATCTAATGAATTAATAAAAGGAAGATAAGTTGTAACTGTATAAAGATATAAGAAGATGTGGTATGAGTGCCAATGAGACAACTCTCCATCCAAGTCACAATTTATAAAAGTAAACCATTATAGGTCAAAGTACGGTCTTTGTATGAGCA